CCACTGTAGTAGGGTCATAGTAAAATTAAGTGAGCTTTGCATTCACCAGAACATTTCAGCTAGTTCTTAAATGTGAAAAAGGAGGGAAGAGGGAAATATAATGCTGGGCTAGTAACAAAAGCCAGTCTGCAGCCTGTTAACCATGTATTTGTTTACTCCAGGTTTTCAGTGGACTGCAGCCCCAACTATTTACTGGATCGCTCCAAAAACAGGAGAAATGCCCATTTATTTTTGTTAAGCTGCACTTCCAGGAGGGAAACTTATCATGCAGGGACTATATAAGGGCTCTACAGCAGCCCTAATCGTGTTACATTGAGTGCATGCACATCCTTTATGTACATGGACACATGTTTGTAGGAAACAGCCAACACATCTTCACTTTCCAATAGAAACGGGGCCAGTACCTGGATGAATGTGGGGTTTCTATCACATGTTCAGTTGAACATGCATTGAATATAACATGAGAATTCTTCAACAAGTGTACCCAACAGGGATTGTTATAAGGCACAAACAAGTGGGAGGTGGAGATGAGAGTGGAGGACTAATGTGTGGGATTGTTCCTCCTACTGTCATCTGGTCCCACTCCAGCCCAACAAGAACCTGTAAAATGATTTCCCCCCTGTTATCACAGAATTAGCTGCTGTGGTCTTTTAGACCTTCCCATTTCAGATGTTAACACACATCCAAACCACAGAACTTTTAAAGCACCACCTCACTTTGTTCCCTCAATCTTGCTTGAACAATTCATTACTGGAATTAGCTGGCTGCAGTTAACATGTGGGCCACTCAAATGTATGCATCTGCATCTTGTGTGGTTACAGGGGATTGTGAGGAGCACCAATCAGGTCATTAATGACCCTAAAACTATTGCTGTGCTCTGCTATTGGACTGGCAGGCTATTACAAAGATCTGGAGTCATTAACATTTAGGTAGGGCAATGTGACAATACTCTGAAGGTGATTTTTTTCCTAATGTTTCTCAAATTGTTCCCACCCATTTTAAATCTCTTTTAAAATCTACCCTTTCTTGGCTTGAGATTTTTTTTAAAAAAACTGTGTTCAAAATGTCAAAATGGGAGTACAGTGGAAATGGGGATAATTTTTTTTCTTAAGCCTGGAGCTTGTGCAGCTTGGTTCCTGCATTTTCCATGAAGTGTAAATAGTGAAAATCAACTAACCACCATTTTCTCAGAAGGAATATTTAGAAATCACCTTTTGGATAATGAATAGGTGAATTGCTGCTCTTGGTATTGAGAAAATGATGAATAGGAATATAAATATCCTTCCACTATCATGGCTCAAATTAATGTTATCAATAAGAAAACCACAAACAGAACTTTGTTCCCGATTCTCCTGTTAGTACCACTGTCTGACCTGGGAAACAAACCACTACTTTTTTTCAGATATCCTTAATTTTAAGAGATAGCATTTTAAAAATACATTTATTTAAATATTTATATACCACTTTTTCTGACAACAGGAATCACTGAAAAGTAGTTTCAATGCATATGCTAACTAAATACCAAGAGATGGTAAAACCATCACAATAATAAATACACAGCACAATAGAAACCACTATTATCAGGGGTAACAAAGAACAAGAACGAGAGCTGAACATTGCAAAGGTCCTGCTGAATAGCCTTGCAGCGTTTCCTGAACTCTGACAAAGATGGCTCTGCTTGCCCTTTCGGTAGCCCATTCTAATGGCCTGGGGCTGCCAACTGAAGAAGCCCAAGTTTGGGCAGAAACAATCCTCACCTCCCTTGGTGTAGGGATTACCAGCAGCCCCAGGCCGTGATGAGAGTAGCGCTCTTGAGGGCTCATGTTAGAAAAGGTGGTCCAGCCAGATGTTGCATATTCACGATCATACCAAAGTATGCCAGTATTGTAGTCATTTTGCAAGAATACCAGAGATCCACAGTTTCTTGTAACGGCATATTTCAAAAACCATTGTTGGTGTCCGAGTACAGGCCATTCAAGGCATCATGAGCAGCTTTGGTGACCCATGTGCAGTGCAGGCTGCATTTCATTCCTTATTTATAAAGGAAGGATGTGCTCTTGCCTTATTCACAGGCACTGGCATTCTAAATGAGGCGAAACCAGCTTGAGTTCACACAGAAAATAAGTTTATTTTGATATAAGTCTGATATAACATTAGGTACATTACAAATCAGATTTCCTTTTTTTAAAAAAACCTAACAATTAAATCTATCATTAAATAAAATAAGATCTTCCTTTGTTAAGATGCCACCTTAAATTTCACTGCAATCTCCTTTGCAAGGCTTCCATTATATGCTTCATAAGCATGATTTGCAAACAGTAGAACACTAATCCTACCAGCCCTTCAAAAACTAACACTGAAGCCCCTCCAACTTTTAAAGTGGGCAAGGGGAAACATGTCTGGAAGCTCACTCTAGACACATTTGATTTAAAAATAAACTCTGACTGATGTCAATAGAACTGACTTCCAAGTTAAGATTGGAGACTTCTGACATGTTTAGAAAACCCCAATGTCAAATCAGAGATCACTATAAGAAAAACAACAAAGGGCAGCAACCAATTTGGAAGTGTCGGCTTGTAAAATATTTCCAAACACATTTCACTGTGGATGAATGCTCTTGGCAAAAATCAGATGTGCACAGGAACATTCTCCTACATAGGCTCTCTGATATTAAGCATAACCATAGTGCTTTCCCTCAGCCATGGTTAAATATGTCTGAACAAAACCATGGTTCAGGGTTGGCTTCAAACCAGGATGCAATACCTTACTTGGAAACTGGTTTATAAAACCACCCAATCAAACCACTGTCACAGCAGTTTCCCTCCTTTCTAGTCTCTCCATCTGCACGGGGACCTACACATACCTTTTGTAGACAGAACTAAGTAAGGTAAGTTATATCATGGTTTTACTTGCCTGTGATCTTAACCAGTGTGGACAACAAACAGGAGTTGGTCCATTCATAGTTAACCATTTTGACTGTACTGGGCCATAGTGGGGGAGGAAAGGAATTGGGGAAATGCAGCCCAAAATGCTCCTTTAAGTATAACATAAAAACCCAAATGTTAATGGTATTCGGTGCAAACATACCGTGGTAAATATATTACACAATCACAAGTTTTGAGGTATGGAGCTGTAAAAGAAATATATACATCTGTGCATACAAATGTGCATGCAATCAATTTACAGGTTTAGCAATCCTCTTAACAGATGGGGCCAAAGTGAGAACAAGGGACAAAACACACACATTAACAAGCTTTACAAAATAAATCAACTCTTCAGTTTCAAAGTAATCCTTAATATAAGGTATATGGTTCTGTTTAATGTGCTCAAAAGGAATATTTTTTTAAAAAAATGCAAGCCTGTATCCAATTCAGTAGTCTTGAAATACTTAACTGTCCTGCAAATTAAGGGAAAGCATTCTTAGGTTAAACAAATGGGCCATGTATTGCCTGAACACGAGGACCTTGATTCACTAGTGGTTTTCATTCACAATCTGTGTTCATTTCAGTGAGGTCTGCATGGAAACCCTGTTAATGAGCAGAGGGGCCTGTGTATTCTTCCAACTACAGCATTTATATATTTCCTCTGCCTGATGACAAATGAAAGCTTAAATAAGGCTTATTGCCAAGGAAGGCAGCCCATTTTTGCTTCTGAATCCAGGTCATGCCCTCTGATGGCTCACTGAATTCTAACCCATAGTCCTCCCAGGACACTGTAACATTGCCTAGTGCTTTATCATCATACATCCTTACAACCAATATACAAGGAAGGTCCAGAAAAGAAGCCGTGAAACACACCATACCCATGGCTCCTAAGACTACAGTCAAGCTTATTAGTGAGTGCTGACACTGCTATGGGTTCTTGGAATGGGGTTGGAGGCAAGGAGGACAGCTTTATTTCATAAGCAAAAGCATCATCTCCCTAAAACAAGTATCACTCCACAAATAAGGCCTGCTCCATACAGATGACTGCAAACTAAGAAGTAACACAGCTGAGGCTCTAGAAGACCGATATCGTAAAAATAAGAAAACGTCACAGTAAGGCTATTCCAAGATAGTATTCTTTTCCATGTTGCTAGCTTCTAACTACCACAAATTCCCTGAGACCAAGCCTAGGATTAACTAGTGTACCAGAAGAAACTGGCAGTTATGAAGATGCACACAGGGGAGAGAGAGAGATGTATGTATAGGAGGGGCTGTGTAAACTTATGTTTATATGTAAAAAAAGCACAGTTTACAGGAAAAATGAAATGTTCATGCAAAGGACTAAAAGGATGTTAAACTAGTAGTAGCAAAGCATAAGCATGCATTGTTAGGCTCCGGTGTATGGCTCACATTTGTACCACCACTGCGGAAGCATGTGGGGACAGTGTC